CACGTGTAGCCCTGCGGCCACTCCTGCCCCAGGCGCCCCTTGGCTGCCAGCGCCTGCAGCCCCCCGGCCCCGGAGCACGAACAGTCGTAGGGGTTGTCAGCCGCAGTCACGTTCTGCAGCTGCCCCAGGAGCTTCACCTCCTCCCACGGCAGCTCCATGATCGAGTTGTTGTCCAGGTCGAGGGTGTCCAGCATGGGGAAGTTCCTGATAGAGGGCACAGCCTGCAGCATGTTTTGGCTCAGGAAGAGCTGCTTCAGGGAGCTGAGGGAGATGTCTACAGCACAGAGGTGGTTGTGGCTCATGTCCAGCACTTCCAGGCTGGGAGGTAGAGGGGTCAGCACTGCATCCAAGCCGGTGTCAGACAGGTTGAAGATCCGGAGGGATGTTGGCCACTGGCAGGAGGAGGATGGGTCTGCCATGAGCTTGTTCTGGCTGAGATCGAGGTGCTGGAGCTCCTGCAGCAGCTGCACACTCTGGCATACACTGTGGTAGGATGTCAGGTCGTTGTGCTGCAGACTCAGCACCTGGAGCTGAGGGAAAGCTCCCTGGCAGAAGGAAGGCTTCAGGCTCCCATCCCCAAGGCTGTTTTGTGCCAGGTCCAGGGAGCGCAGAGCTCTGAACACCCTTCCCATGGCACAGGGCAGGCTGCTGACGCGGGAGCTGGTGACAGCCAGCTCCTGCAGGGTCTCCAGCCAAGTGCTCAGGCTGGAAAAGACCTGTTCATGGGCTGCCAGTGGGCTAGCTGTCACATTGTGGAAGCTCAAGGACAATATGGGCAAGTTCTGGCCCTCCATTTCATCCCAGTCTCCTGTTCCCTGGAAAACACAGCTCTCAAATGCCAGCTCCTTCACGTGAGTGTAGGAGAAGAATCTCAGCACACGGGCGAGGAGGACCTCAGGCACCAGGACATCAGCAATAATGATTTTTTGGATAATGAGGGAGCCCAGAGTGTCAATGGTAGAGGGGTCCAGGTCCCTGATGGGGAAGGACACGTATTTCTCCAGCTCTCCTCCCTGAAACTCCACCACAGTTGCTGCGAGGCACTGGATGATGCTGCCTACCGTTTCCTCGGACAGGTTGTAGCACACACACAACTCCTGAGTGCGGTTGAAGAGACATCTGTTTCTTCTGCCTTCTACCTCCAACAACCACAGCCCCACGAGGAGGAGAAAAATCACACTCATGGTGAACAACCTGAAAACGAGGAGAGATGGTGAACAGCAGCTGAAGGGAGCTCTGATCCAAACTGGAGGGATGGCTTGGGCAGGTTCAGCCCCACAGAGCCACTCCTTGGGGTCACAGCACTGCCCTCATCCCTCCTGCACAGCCCATAGGCACCCGCCCAGCTGCTGAGCCGTGAGTCAGGGCAACACTCAGGTCAGCATCAAACACCCAGAGCTGCACCCATGTCACCTGCTCCTTGGCAGGGTGAGTGAGTCTATCCCATCCCACCCCAAAGCAGAGGGTCTGTGCTGTCCTGTCCAGGCTGTATTGCTGCAGGCTCCTGCTCCTCAGTGACCAGGAAATGCCACAGATCAGAGGAAACTAGGAGTGCTGAGTTGCAGACAGTGAAGCCAGACGAAGCAGTCTAATCACGGGCTGGGAGAGCCCCAGCTCTGTTTGTTCCTCTGTAATCTGGGGCAGGAAATTGCAACAGAAGATTTTGTGTTTTCTCCTTTCTTCCCCAGCAATTTGATTAATCAGCAGTCCTCAAGGGGATGGTAGAAAATGACCTTTGAGGGTCTGGACGCATCCCTGTTGGCACCAGGCACTGCCCTGCTGGCCAGCTGAAGGAGAGTCTGGTCACCAGACTGCAAAACAATCAGCAAGCAAAGATTAAAGGCTCCTAAAAATGCCCTGACTCAGTTCTGCCGTGGCGAGGGGTATTTGGGGACCCCCAGTGCAGTCTCCTGCTTCGAGTAGGTCTGTTGCCCGCACAGCTTTTATTTGGCCGCATCCCCAAAGTAGGGAGGATGGAATTCTCCCCATCTCCCAGTGCCCTCGCGAGGCTACACCACCCTCCCGGGGAGAAACTCTCCTCCAGCACCTGCACAAAGCCCCTCTGAGTGTGGGGCAGCAGGATCGGGGGTGGGTGACTCACCTCACACCGAAACGTTTCCTTGTCCCGAGGCTGCTTCCTCTAGCTGCTGCCAAATCTCGGGCTGAGGTGCCAAATGCTCCGAGCGCTCAGCTCTCTCCGTTGCCCGACCCTCCCCTGCCTCCGGCCGGATGAGCCCTCGCTGCCTGCAGGTGTGCTGCAGCTGCCGTTGGCTGGATCCGCACGGCCGGGGCTGGCACACACCTCGGGGCTCACTCCTGGACACTGCCCTTGCTCCCGCGGAGTGACTTCCTGAGCAGGACGGGCTTGGCTGTGCCACGGGAAGCAACAGGCTTTGCAGCAGCCGCCCAAGTCACTTCTGCTTCGCTTCCCTGCGGCTGCAGGCTGGGGAGGGCTGTGGTCTGAGTGCCAATGCTGCTCACTTTCCTAGGAAGGGTAACAGAACGGAGTGTGATCAAGATCCCCAAATGCACTGTCGGGACCAGCCCTTTGCTTCCAGATGCTCTGATTGCTGTGCCTCAGAGCTCACTGGGTGCTGAGCAGGCAATGCAGAGGGGTACAGGACCATCCGACCTGGCATCCAGACAACCTCCAGGTGCCTGTGTTCCATATAGGATGGGGTGGGACAATTCCTTCACTCAAGGCAAGTTGTTGCTTGGCTCGGCCAAGGATCTCACATCACTTGCCCCGTGCTCCTCTGGCAGCTGCTGGCTGTGCCTATACTGGGGTGTTACCACTCTCCAACAGAGAGTGGAGACCACCAGGCATTTGGAATGATCCATAAGTGTTCAAGAGATGACTTTAGTTTAGTTGTAAAGTGGTGATCTGTCACAGATTGGACTCAATGATCTTGGAGATCTTTTCCAATCTTAATGGTTCTATGGCTCTGTGATCTCCCTGGGAGTTTTTCTCTGCCAGGGACTTCTCTGCCTATGTTGGATTCAAAAAGGCAGTGGAACTGTGTGGCTGAAAGATGCAATTCCCAGTTTGTTGTGAATGTGGCATAACAGAGACACCATTAGTGCCTCAACAGCTGGGGCTGAAGCTGCCTGTCCCATGCTCTCTGGCACTCTTGTGCAAAGCAGTTTGGCAATTCCATGATTCCTCCATCCTCAGGTTACACGAAACTCCTCAGCACAAGAAGGATGTGGAGCTGTTGGAGTGAGTCCAGAGGAGATGCTCCAAGGGCTGGAGCAGCTCTGCACTGAAGACAGGCTGGAAGAGCTTGGCATGTTCAGCCTGGAGAAGAAAAAGCTCCAGGGAGACCTTAGAGCCACTTCCAGTGTCTAAAGGGCCTCCCAGAGAACTGGGGAGGGACTTGAAACAAGGGCCTGGAGGGACAGGACAAGGGAGAAGGGCTTCCCATTGCCAGAGGGCAGGGATAGATGGGATATTGGGAAGGAATTCTGCCCTGTGAGGGTGCTGAGGCACTGGCACAGGTTGCCCAGAGCAGCTGTGGCTGCCCCATCCCTGGAAGTGTTCCAGGCCAGGCTGGACGGGGCTTGGAGCAACCTGGGCTAGTGGAAGTTGTCCCTGCCCATGGCAGGGGGTGGAATGAGATGAGGTCCTTTCCAACGCAAACCATTCTGGGATTCTGTGAAAGTGCTACTGTGTGCATCATGGAAAAATCCTAGCTGCCCTCTGAGCTCTCCTCCCTGCCCCTTTTGCCGAACTCGGCAGCTCTGTCCGGGGCTGATATCTTGAATTCTGCTCACCAGCTGCAAATTCTCCAAATGCCTTCTGCAGGGAAATTCCGCACAGGGAAGCAAGGAGCCGACTCAGTGTGAGTGATAAAGCAAGCTCCAACTTTACTGTTAGCTCAGTTCTTCTCTTATACGGTACACGATAAATGTGCCCATTCATTACTTAGCATTACCTAACAGTGTTACCTAAGCTCTAAAAGTTACATTTATATACTTTTTCTGCTTGCGGTTGCAGCTGTGAAGAAGTCTTCTTTATTCTCTGGAGAATCCTTCTTTGTTTTCCTGGATAGTTTATCCTTGGGCTTGCAACATTGCTGAGTTTTCCCAGATAGCTTGTCCTTCGGCTGCAACATTATACTGAGAAAATAAATTCTAATGCTGAGAAGCTAAATTCCTGAGGCCTACTTCTGCTCAGAGTTCCCACAGTGCCTTGCTCGACTCTTGCTCGCACAATTCTCCCTGGGAGCTGTGCCCCTGTTCCCTTAGCCATTCTTCAACTCCTTTCTGAGGAATCACGAGCTCCTCTGCCCCCGCGGTCACCACAACCACCCTGGAAGATCCCAGGGCACCAAGCCGCGGTGGTTTGCATTTCTCGTGAATCTTTGGGCTGTTTCGTGCTCAGCAAAGCTGACACCGAGCGCTGGGGGTGCACAGCTCCTTGGTACCGCGGCCTGGGCGGAGTGGGGCGGGGCAGGCATCTCCCCACCCCGGGACCGCCTCGGG